GAGGAACCAATCATGTCAACTTGCAGTGTGGAGCTTTTTGCATTGTTATCCTTCTTCAGAATTGTTTTTTGCTTCTAGCATGTATTGAATTGCTCAAATATTACAACTTGCCGGTGTGTAGAGTAGAATAGTTTTACAGTGTTTGAGCAAAGTTATAGGTGAGCTGGTGTGCTGAGCTGCAGCAAGTGGCAAACAGGCAGGGACTTCATAGACCGCCATATTTAGGAATATCTAAGCTATTTTGAGAAAGGAAGGGAATATTTTCATGAAGAAAAACTCTAAATATGTAACTTTGATAAACTGATGACTTTCGAGAAGTTTGTTCAATGTCCAAAAAGCAACTTCACTGTCTTGTCCCCCTTTTTTAGACACTGAGGTTAAAGGATGCGTCATCAATATTTCAATTACCTTAGGTGCTTGCCTTAACAGTGAAATAGTGAGTTTGTCTATATTCCTTAAGAAAGACAAATTAAAAGAACAAGGTAAATGTTTGATATGAAATTTATTAAAACATTCTTTCAATGATGCAGTGCAATACTATATTTTAAAATAAATTAAAAAGTAGTATAATTACAACTTTGTGTCTGTTGTATCTGCAAAGAAGTGTCATCACTTCTTAATACTGATCTTACAGAGCAAAATTAGGTTATTTTACATCATTGTTCTGGTCACCTGGTGAATGCAAGTAGAATATTTACTCTCCTTTTGCTTTGTTTCGGGTCTCCACTAACTTCGGAGAGACTAAAGCTTACTATAAAGCTAAAGGGAGCTGCTCATTCAGCTGATAATCTGCTAATCTCGGTAAATTCATCACTAGCAGTTGCATTTTCACTTCACATTGTCATTTTACCAAATAATGAAATGGGTTTTATTGGCTAGAACCGCAGAGATTCATTTTTTAGTTTAATGACAATCACTTCACCGTGTCCATTACGATACAAACAAAAAAAACACATTCTTAATAACTGATTCTGGGAACAATGATAATTGGATATGATGTAATGATCAAAAACAAAATGATGTAATTTACTCGAGCTTCCTCCAGGATATGGTGGAGGCTGTTGACAATATGTGTTGCTTGGTGCTGCAATGGCTGTTGGATGTAATTTCAGCAATTTTCCAAGAATCCTGAAATTGTATGTTATTGTCTGAGCTCAATACATGTACTTTTTGCAACAAGTGACATTGATAGCGAGCCTGTTTCTGAAAGATAAGGGTGTAGAAACTGTGTGAGTGTGTGTTTTCTCTCCTGATTGTGACAACAAAATGTCCATGTCCACATTATCATAATCACAGCTTGTTTGGATGCGCTCGTATCCTCTCAGGCCATTGAGTGCTTGTTTTTTTTTTCTTTAGCTGCACAATTCATCCCCTCAGTGTAATTATTCCACCCGCTGTCTGTTGATCATCTCGATGAGGGAGGAGGAGAGGTGAGAAGTGAATGGGGAAAGATGACCTGCAGGAAGAGAGAAAGCTGTGTGCATTCATGCATTGCTTGTGAATTACATAGCTGGTATTATCTCATCCAGGGAGAGGGCTTTATGGAGGCAATGAAACAAGGGAAGGGAGAGATCAACCTCTGGGAGACAACAAAGGTATGGATGCATTTAAATTCAGTGCTATAAAAAGATGTGTAACTACGTTGTTCCTCCAGGATGCAGAGCTCCAAAAGACCGCTTATTTCTCTGGCGATCAGTTTACATTTACGTTTTACGGTCTCTTTTCAAGAGTAAGATGAGAAGACGCATGTCAAATGTTATGCCGACAGCTGATAGGGCTAAAAAAAAAACAAAAAAAAAAACGATGGAAACTCAACCTGGGCTCTATCTGCCAATCAGCACTCCTGAATTAATTAATTAACATCTCATTTTTTTTATTCTGTACAATCACCTAAATATAAATGTGACAGGCTATTTCTTGGTCAGGAGTTCCTCAGGTCTTCACTGGTTGCCTGGCAACAGGTCCTGCAAATCACATCAGTCTTCTCATTCACACTGGTCTTGTAAATTTGAATAATTATTTCAATAAATGCAGCATTATTGATCATCCATCCACCACTTAATCCTCACTAGGGTCACAGGGGGCTGGAGCCTATCCCAGCTGAGTCAGGGTGAAGGCAGGGGACACCCTGGACAGGTCGCCAGTCTATCACAGGGCTACACTTAGAGACAGACAACCAAGCACACTCACACTTACGGACAATTTAGAATCACCAATTAACCTCAACATGTTTTTGGACTGTGTGGGAGGAAGCCGGAGAACTCGGAGAGAATCCACGCTGCACGGAGAGAACATGCAAACTCCACGCAGAAAGATCCCGGGTCCCTCACCGGGATGCGAACCGGCGACCTTCTTGCTGTGAGGCAATGGTGCGAACCACCGAGCCACCTTGCAGCCCCATTATTGATTAGTAATTGGTTAATTTATAATTCAAATGTAACTGAATAGATGTTGGTGTTGTGTTATTGCTTCTGTTTAAGTTATGGACATTTAGAAAACAGATTACTGCACACTGTCTAACTTGCAACCATACATTTATTAGTGCAATGTTTCAGTCCTAGCCAGGCAATTTTTGCCTGATGAAGATCAGATAAAAATAAGACAATGTGTCTAAACAAGTTGGACATTGTGCAGGAATCTGTCAGATGTGCTCGTCAGTCTCCAGTCCGGCCTCATGTAATAGATGTGTAAAGAATTCCCTTCAGTCAAAGCCATGGACACGTAAAATGAACTGCAGAGCTTTTACTTACACAACTGAGATAGAAGAGTACTGTTCTAGTTGATCCTGGCATGACTGACCAAATTTGCATTGGTCAGAGGTCATTAACCCTTTATCGGGCACTCCTTGAAATACTTGGAAAATGAACATTTCAACCCTAGGGTGTTATTAAAGGATATTTCAAGATATGTTTTACTTTTGGGACTTAAATAATGTTGCAAATCGAGATCAATAAAGTTACCATATCTGGTAACTTGCTCGTTTATGGTTAAAAAAAAAAAACTCAAGGAGAGGCACAGGGTGGACATGTTGAACATCCAAGGAGGTTACCAAATATGGTCACTTATAAAACCATAAAGGGTTAAGTGTCGCAGAAGACTAATGGTGCCCTCCAACTAGCTAAACCCCCCACAATGTGATTCCCAACACAGAACTACCTGCCTCCTCTGGTTGCTACAGTAATAAACAGTAAGTAAACAATAAACTGGTGGCACAACTAGGTACTACAGCTAATGTACAATATTTGAAGAGTGTGTTGTCTCGAAAAATGGCATCAAAAATAGTCAGATACTACATATTAATGACTGGCGTTAGACCAGATCAGGGGCATAAAAAAATTGGGGGACTTTGGGACATCCTTTCTTACAACATTAAGCCAACTGTCTAAACCTTATTCAGTTCATTATGTTATGTACAGGGGTGCAAGGTGGTGCAGTTGGTTGCACTGTTGCCTCTCAGCAAGACGTCGCCGGTTTGCATCCTGGTGAGGACACCCAGGACCCCATGCAGCGTGGGTTCTCTTTGGGTTTTCCGGCTTCCTCCCACACAGTTCAAAGACATGTTGAGGTTAATTGGTGATTCTAAATTGTCCGTAGGTGTGAATGTGAGTGTGCTTAGTTGTCTGTCTCTAAGTGTAGACAGACCAAGTAGCAACGTCTGGGACTAAACATTAAGCCAGTGCCCCAATGTCACAAACTGCAGTTCTTTAAATGACTCCTTGTGGCTGGCGCCAAAAGTGTGTCAATCCGATAGATCCCCATGTTAAAAATGTCCATTTTAACAGCAGAAATAAACATGTTTACAGCTTGGTACAAAACACACTTTTGGTCTGTAAGGCCTGTTTTTTCTGTTCATGACAGTTGCACTAGGGGTGCATTTTTGTATAAGTTCCCTGTTTAAACCGTATTAAAGCTTAAAGTTGTGCATATTTAAGGGTGTGACTGCTTTGAGTGACAGGTGGGTATCAACATAGGACAGTCCATGCTCCACTTCTTTGCTAATTTATGAAATTGGTAAGGAGTTAAGAGAAGTTAGGCACTGCCAAGATAAAGAAAGCCAGAAGCACCATGCTGAGTTTCAAAATTGCTGTTCAGGAAACCTATGGGTGATGTCATGGAGGGGTCCATCTTTAAATATAGGCAATAAGATGGACCCTCCTCAGAGCTTGGCATTTCTGCTGTCACTATTTTGTTATATTTAAAACTGTATGTGACCATACATTTACTACTTCTCAATCACAGGGTCACCACACACTACAACGTATGCTGTTTTACTCTAAAGGGGACAATAATTTCTAAACTGAAGACCATGCCACCATTGGATTAGACTGTTCATTTGCATATCAGCTTTACTTTTCAGACCTGGAGGCCACATCCACCTTTCATATACAGACTACCTCTGTGATCAAAACTGTGAACTTTTTCTTTATCCTATCAGAATGTACATACAGCTGCCCTCACAAAGTACGTACTGTTGCATGCAGTGTACATGTATACAACTTAGTGCTTCGTCATGAGATTACACCTTAAACTTTGCTGATATGTCCATCCCAATCTGTAGCGCAAAATGAGCCATGATCTGTGCAATCGGGGCAACAAAAGGATTGTGAGTCAAAATGGGCAGAAAAGCAGAAGAAGTTTGCAAGGGTTTGCAAACTTCTGAATGCTACTGGATGCAGTAAGACATCCTGGTATTTTTGGCACACTGCACTAAACTCACTATGTACTGGGGGATACTAAATTTTTTTTTTCCTCTGGTGTATTGTACAGTATGGTAATGTGGGTATCGGACCCATGAGTCAGCTGTGGTCTTGGCTGCCTGATTGCCTCAAGTGAACCTGTTGATTTGAAGCTGTTGGGTGTCTAGTTAAAGACTGGATTTCACTTTCAGTTTCTTTTGTTGTTGTGGTTGTTTTTTTGTTTTTTAACAAAAAAATCATTTCTGAACTGGGTAAAAAAGGTAAATATGGGAAACACCCTGCAAACTAACAACTCTGCAAAAAGCCAGTAGACAAATTCAGCTTTATTGACAAGAACAGTAGTGTTGATACAAGGCAGGAGCTAGGGGGAAGCTCAAAACAGTGCATAACTCAGATACAAAAACTGTCAGAGTTGCTTTTCACTGGATTTGTAGTCTGGACAATCCCTTTAGTTGTTCATTTAAAAGATGAGAGGAATAAAAAGTTTAGTTAAAAAAATGGAAAAGACTGAAGCCCCCCGATGAGAGCCTGACATGTAGACTGAGTTTTTTTTTTCTTTAAACTTACTTCATATACAGTACAAAACATGCATCCCATGTTATTCCACAACTATCAGTCTTACAATGTACACCGATTGCACAAAATCAAATTGAAATCATAATAAAAATCAAATAATACACAACTGTATACATCCTTCACAGACGCTACACGCAAGACGTACTTGGCTATTCCTATTTCTCCGACACTGAAAAACACCTTTTCAAGCTACCATTAATTTATACACCAAAGAGTACTGTCCTCTGACTATGGGCTATTTTCAAAATAGCCTGAGGTAAGCTTTAGCACATGAGACATAGCTCAATTTCAAAGGCTAAAAATGTAAATAAAATATGATATAATGCCATAAATCCTCGAAAAGCAACAGATAAGACAGAAGAAATGTTGCTTTAAAAAAAAAGCCAATGTTGCAGGTTACAAATTTTGTTGTAAACAAATTCATCAACAAAGTGCCAAAGTACTTCTGATCCCTTTAGCTGACCAAATTTCTCTTGATCCAATGACTGACAGGTTCAACCATTAAGTAGTGCAACACAACTCTAACTAATGAAATGATTACAATGACAGAAAAAAAAGGCAAAAACCCAAAAGGCAGGACAGGGCAAAAGAAGACCGTTCAGTGTTCCCTTTTCTGCTTCCGGCCAACGTCTACCTCGTCCAGCCCGGTGGCCGATCTGGACTGCTGCATTTCTCGAAGCTGAGAGTGTGTACGAGGCGGCTGCTTCTTGAGCTTCTCCAGGTGAACGTCAATGGGGTCGAGTTCGGGCTCAGAGGCGGGGACGGGTAGGTAGCCGCCGTCCCTCGGCAGGCACATGCACCAACCGGCACCGGCCAGGTCCAGCTCGCTGTACTCAAACTCTGACTTCTTCAGCCTGAAGTCCACCATGTCGGCCGACTCGCTCATGTCCACCAGCAGGTTCCAGAAGACACAGCTCAGGATGATGCCCAGCAGCTGCAGGGGCAGAGCAGACAGAAGCATGAAAACAACTTTAAAATGGAAGTAGGAAAATATCTGTAGCATGTGGAATCCCCAACTTTTTCCAGTGTTGGTAAAACCTGGGAGCACTTTGAAACATGTATGTTTCCGATTTCAGGTTTCAATCTAAGAAATGTTTGTTGTTGTTGTTGTTTTTTATCTTCAGCATTTTGCCAGGCGTCTTCCATTCCTCAGAACCTGCTCTACTTCTGCTACCTTGACTCCACTTCTCCAGCTTCTTCTTTTTCTCTGTTTTGTCCTTCTTCTTCTTCTTCTTGAACATGACGATGGTTTAATTAATACAAATACTCTCCATGTGTCATGTGTAATTATCACTAATGATTCCTCAGATAGTTGTTTCGTGACTCAATTTTTATTCCAAGAAATGCGACAAAATAAACAGATGACGAATGATTTATTGCAAACTGTTATTCATTTTTTCGTATTAACCAACTAATCCCTACAGCGCAGGGCTGATCGCTGAGCATTCCTGACAACATAGAAAGTGCAGTGAAAAAGCATTAAATGTCTTCTCCACTTGTGCGTGTCTTACACTAAACTGTGTCAGATCTTCAGTTAAATCTAACATAAAACTAAGGCAACCTGAGGAAAGACAAAATACTAGTAATACAGGGCAAGTCCACCACGTAGACTTACTAATGCTGGTATAAACACCTCGATGCTTCTGTTTACAAGTGATGGGAAGTTCAGCTCTTTTCAAAGAGCCGGCTCTTGTGGCACGGCTCCCAAAGAAGAGCCAGCTCTTTTGGTTTTCAAACGGCTCTTAATTTATTATCATCTGTAGCCTCATATTTTAGCTTAACTTGGCAAATATGAATGCTTTGTGTGTTGATCAACCCTTTTGAATTTAGTGTTTTTATAAGAAGCCTTATAATGGCCTAATTTTGAGTATTTTTATGACACAAAAGCAGGCATTCTTACTTTTGTTTAATATTTTAATCCAACTTTTAACCTAATTTAACATGAAAACAGATGAACAAAACACTGCAAACACTCCCACAGAACAGAACCCGAACAGAAACAGAACAAAACTCAGTTCAAACACTAAACAGTATGTCCTTAGTGCAGGTTTATGAAACGTGCCAACTAGATGATAAATGACCATCAAGGGGTTCCTGCATTAATGATTATATAACACGAAATCTTGCTACGGTTTTTTTCTTCTTCTTCTTCTTTTTTTTTTTTTTGAAACAAGGTAAATCTGCTAACTTTAAATGAAGACACTTTACACAGAGATTTTTTTTGGAGCATCCAGGGCATTCCCAATCCCAGGTTTGAGTTACAGCTGAATGGTGTCATTTAGTCTCTGTTCCAGCAGCAGCAGGGCTCAGAAATGTCAGAAAGAGGAGCAGCCAGCTTGGTTAGTTATCTTAACCCTATTCAGGACTTCATGCTGTCATACGTAGACGGTCTTTCGAGGTCCACTGGACCCCAAGAAAGAATATTTTCTTATAAGTTGACATATTTTTGGCTCCAAATGCATGACAAATGTCCCTTTTTTTTTTTTTAAAATTAAATTTTTTAAAGTTCAAAAAACAATACCTGTCACTCAGAGCAAATGAAGAACAACATTGTTCATATAAAAGAGGAGAGCATTGTGTTTATGTGTGTATTTACATGTATGTATCATTGTAATGTATCTTGAGCCATCAGGCTGTTATTAACATGAGTCTTCACTGTGAATCAGTCTGAGTGTCATGAGTTGCTTTTGAAAGAAGCAGTTATTGTACATTCCATATTGTACAAGTACGTTCTGACCAGAAACCTTTTCCAGATCATGTTTATTTTGTTAGATCTATTTAATCAGGTTAGGTCTATATTTAGTCATACAATGTGAGTACAAGTAAGGAACACTATTGCTATAGGCTACATCTATGAATAACGCAGCAATTGGGTGCCTCCCAAAATATAGTATTGGCCCCCTATTGGCCCCCCCTAAAAAAAAAAAAAGCCTAGAGTCGCCACTGTTGGCTGATTCTCCTCTCGGTTATTGTGAAGACTCTCTCAGAGGGAACAGCTGTTGCCATAGTACACAGTCTCCCCTCCATCCCCTTCACCAGGTGGGGGAAGACTGAGGCCTTGGTCTGCCACCAGCTCAGTGGGTCCTCTGCTTTTTGGATGAGGGGTTCCTCAAGATAGCATTGCATCTCCATTACAACATCAGCTGTGGCACTAAATCCTCTCATGTGATTGGCCACAAGGCCGCCATGCTGCCAATTAAAACAAAGTTCTGCTGTGGGCTGAGCTGAGCCACTGAGCAGCGGGAAAAAAAAAAAAAACAATCGGGAGTTGGCTCTCATTCAATGGGAGTTGGCTCTTCTGATTCACTCTAACTTTTGCACAGGACACATCACGACTGTTCACAACTTTGTCCTAGTTCTGAGCCCCAAAGCCTGCCGGTGGGTTTGAAAGGCATGTTATCTTACCAATAATTGCCAAAATTACACCATTTATCAAATTGTAAAGACAGAAAGGAACGTCTGATTTTCAGGTTTCTAATGGTTCTTTAACTGCTCATCTGTGACGTGCCATCCTTAGGGGAAAATTATTTAAATCTATGCCTGAAATTATAATATTTCATCAGAATCTCTTTTCATGTCTTATTTAAATGTTATCTAAAAAATAAACCATTTGCACCAGAGTCTGTAAAAAACCCCCAGACAATTCAGCACTCTTCTGTGCTACCATTAAGACATTAGTGACTCAGCTGTGACCACCAGCCAGGTGACAAAAATTCAGGAACTTTTTAACAAAACTGCAGAAGACGTGTTTGGAAACAAACTCAAAATGTCATGCAATATAAAATGTAGTATCTATAGTAAGTAGTCTCCATTCTTTCCTAGTATTGGTAATCCCTGTGGCTACTTGGAAAATGTTGGACATGTTGATTCCAGGTTTTTTCAATTTTGTAAAATAAATAATTACATCTTCCTTTATTAATATTTATAATTAAGGCAATGATAACTGTGTCACCAAATGCAAAAGCAGACAAGAGATATTCAGTTAATAATCAGAGGTTGTTGATATGATATGATGGAAATTTTAACCAGAGACTCCTGACAGATGTGATTAAACGTCGCTCTGCTGGAGTTGTTGCATCCACATTAGCATTCAGTGCACTTAAACAGTAGTGTAACAGAGTGGAGGTTCTTATCTAAGAAAAGATCTCTGGCTGAGTATAGACACCAGCTTGCAGCAAGCACTTTTCGCAGACAGCAGACGAGTTTAGTTTTGGCATGCCGTCAAGTTACCCATACCATTACCATTTATTAGTCGGCACGCGCTAAAGATGAGAAGCTGATAACCTGGTGTTTTGTACACTGCAACTCTTTGCCAACGAGGAAGAGAGGTAGAGTCACAGCTCTGCAGATCTATGTATTTTTTTGCAGATTTGTGTATTTTTCCAGCCTGAATGTCAGAAATTCGAGCCACTTTCACTGGTGCACACTCTGCAGGTTTATTTTATCAGATGATCGGCCTCTACAGCGATCTTTAGAACTGCTTAGACACATCTCTAAACATAAACCTACAAGACTGAAACATCATCCTGGAAATTTTTTGACATCTGCCATCTGTAGAAGTTTTCTCTCATGAAAGTTGGTAACAGCACATTGATGTTTCTCATCTCAACATAGTGAGAAGAGGACGGTTTTAATGTATATGGCATTACCTGTGTGCTCTGTTCCCTCAAACATTAATATTTTGTTTCATTCACACACTCATTATTTGTTATATAAATGTACGTGGTCTAGTGAGGCCTCAGCTATAGAGCACTGCCAAAAACCCTGCTGATGATAAACTACCGATTACAACCTTCTGTCAGAGCCAACGGAATGAGAAACTGCAGCCCAACTGCAGTTAACTAACCTGAGCTGAGTTATATTTTGATAAACCCTCTGTTGCATGCTGCTGCCACGTAGCTACAAATACCTGATCTCCAAAAGTCGACTAACATTTCAAAATTCAAGCAACATTACTTCAATTAAAAAAAAATAAAAATAAAAAAAAATTTATCTGGGGTATGCTAACTTTGCATTTTCATGATAAAACATTTTTCAGACACAAGTTTTTTTGTAAAATGTTAAAAACAATTTGGTGCCATATGGCAGCTATATGTGAATATGAAAGGGACTTTTTGTGCCTTCAACCCGTTGGAGTGTAAGTGACGAACAAAGCACCAGGATACTCTGAGAATGTGTTGCGACATTTTTGATTACTTTTAAACGGGGGGGGTGAGAAAAAAACTTTTTTTTAGAATTTTGTAATCTCAGACATTTTGTTACATTAACACGTTACATTTCTAGTCATAGGTATATACAACTTTAACAATATTTTAGCAAAAAATTCTGCCCCAATCTTTTACTACAGGTGTATGTAAGTATCCTATTATGATGTTTTTTATTATTTATTTTTTGCAAAAATCCCAAATAACAGTTTTGTAATTTGGAAGTCTTGAGTTATGCATTTTACTACTTATAGGTTGAATTTGTTTAGTTTTGTTGTCAATAAATGTGTTTTATGTTTTTAGAGCAAAGTGATATTTCATGGTACGTTCCATGATTGAGAACTGTCAACATAAGGCACTTTTCAAACTACCCCTCTTCAAAAAAAAACATTTTTAATATTTTTCAAATATATCCATTATTTAAGCAATTTTATGTCATTGAACACATTTAAACATTTTTATCCTGTTCACGTAACCATTCATACAGTAGAATGATGACGGCTGTGAATCAATGCGCCTCACATGCTGATGTTCAGGTAGAGAACCACTGACCATGCTGACGTGTACAAGATCAGCACAGAAAGAAAGAAATCAGACTCTGGTGTACGTTAACAGCATTTTAAAGGAATGACAAGTAATTATGTCTGTGAACCAAGTTCAGAACAATAAGTCAAATCTTTAAAATTTTCTTCTAGAAGTGCTGTGAGGGCACTTAAGGACAGGTTCATTTTTCACAGGACAAAGTTTCTCGTGTGAGCCACAACTTTTTTGTAGCGCAGTGGTGATGGGGAGAACCGAAGCTATTTATGGAGCCACTTTAGAAAAGTAATTATAGTCCTTATAGTTTGTTCAGTCGCCAAGAAAATCCTAAATTTATGCAAGAGATGCACTGTCTTGTGCAGGAGACAAGTCAAGGTTTAACAAAAAACATGAAGCAGATGGTCTGTGAAAGGCTGACACCACAATCAGTTTAGGTTTCACCAACATCCTCAGGGTGCTGAATCTTTTCAGAAAAGTAAATTATTTGCCAGGCAGGAAAATGATGCTTTCAGAAACCTTTACAGGAAGTAAGGGTTTTCTGTTCTGATAAACAGCCTCAGTCAGGAGAGGTGCATTTGGTTTAAAAGAAGGTTTTTCAAACAGAGTTCAGTTTCAGTGAGTCAGTGCCTTGAGTTTTCAATTACCTGTGGCAGCCCGATGGCGCAGCAGAGTGCAATGGTTATTCCAATGTTGTCACTCATCCAGAGGTTGACTGCGTGGATGCAGCCTCGCACATGGATCAACTCATGCAGGGTTTCACGCTGATACACAGACCAGAGAAAGAAAACAAGAGGAAAAGTTTCAATCTTAAACCCAAACTCAACAGCCACCATGAAAAAGTGAGGTTCCTAAAACTCCAAAGCTGTCACACAAAGTAGAAGCCATTTCAATTATAGCTGTAAGCTGCTTATTTGCAGTCAGTGTAAAAACTAACTGAGGACAGAAAAATGAATATATGATGAGTAAGAGTCAGCAGCAACACAGCAGCCATTAATATTTGTAAGAAAACCCCCATTAAACTAGAAAGAGGAATCAGGAGTTCAGTCAGTAAGGAGTTAAAGCCGAATGCAAAAACTTAAACTGTCCTCAACAGCTTATTATGCTGAAGAACCTAAAGATTGATTTACAGCCATGAAACATTGGATAAACTAAAAACATCACATACTACAACTATGGTGCTGTTAAATGGATACTTGCTGTACTGTGACAAACCAAGTTAGTGTCCCTCTGCTAAGGAGAAAGCCTAGGTGTGTTTATATGCAGTTTCTCTGGCTGCTTTGATACATTAAATCTACCAGGCCACATCACATGAAACTCTGTGGACAGGTGGTTAAAGGAAGAACCCAATAAAAATTTACCATCTATTTGAATCACTTTCTAAAAAATAATAAAAACTCTGGCACAGAACAGTAAATGTCCATGTAGTTGCCATTCTGCTATAACCGATGTTGTCACTGACTGGTGAATATGGTGGCCCAGAAGTGTCCCAACAAAACAAAAGCCACAACACAACACAATAAGCCACAACGCTACAAAATTAGCCGCAACCCTACAAAATTAACCACAACACAATCAAATTAACCACTACACAACACAATTAGCTGCAACACTACAAAATTAGTCACAACACAACACAATTAGCCGTAACACTACAAAATAAGCCGCAACACAACACAACGGCTGCAACGGAAGTTGTTTTTTTTAAACCCGAAAGTTATATTGTGAAGTGCACAACCACACGAAGTGGGCAGAAGCCGGAGATTGTTGGAAACAACTCGAAAGTATGTAAAATACTGATGGCAAATAGTGTCCATCAATCTCGGTATGCGCTATTAAAGCGGCTGTTAACTTTGATTTACAAATAAAGAGTCATTGCTTGTTTGACACCTTTAGCTTGCTGTGTGGCGTTGCGCACTTCACAGTATAACTTCCGGGTAAAAAAAAAACAAAACAATTTCCATTGCAGCCGTTGTGTTGTGTTGCAGCTTATTTTGTAGTGTTGCGGCTAATTGTGTTGTGTTGTGGTTAATTTAGTTGGGTTGTGTTGTGGTTAATTTTGTAGTAGTGTGGTTTATTTTGTAGCGTTGTGGCTTGTTGTGTTGTGTTGTGACACTTCTGGGCCACCGTAGGTGAACGGTTAAATAACATAATTAAAGTTATAAAGCATCCTTACTGATGTCTATAAAAAATGCAATCAGACAGTGATTTTATTTCCAAAACCTAATGCAGAATTTAATGACTCATCTCGGTTTATCTTATATTTAGGGAGACACAGACAATAAACAAGAGAAAAAGGTTGTTGCACAACATATTTCACAATTTTTCAGTATCACTTTTGGATCTCATAATAAGGCCTTACTACCTATTTATGAGATGCAGGATTTCATGATTACAAGATAATGTGTACCAGACAGGAGGTGGAAGCATTACAACAGATTTTGGGGTAATTTTTACTCTAAACTGTGTGCTATAATAGTAAAGGGGGCTTATTTGACCACTCCCTGTACACCTCTGCACTACCTTTATCCTACAGAAACATTTTGCTCGTTTCTACATGTAAATATGTGATGCATGTATAGTATATCTGCTAATGTACAGTATCTTTGTTCGGCTTGGTTGTTCTCGATTAGTTTTTCCATGTGCATCCTCCTGTGTATTCATTTTCAATAAAAAAAAAAAAAGGGAACTAAGTCAGTGCACGCACAACAACGATGATATTTTTTGCTGTGATGAATGCAATGCACCAGAGGACTAGACAGTTCTCATCTAATGACCAAAGATCTGTGGAGTGCGACTAAGCATTTTTATTGGTCACACCGGCGCAGCTGACATTTAACAGGGGGTCTTTGTGTGTCTCTGGGCGGCCCGCCCACGTGGATAAATTTACTCGATTTCAGCTGAGAGAAATTTGACAGTACAGTGATTTTTAGCCACACAGCTATCCAGCTGCTTAGCTGCAGTACAGATAATGTATTATTCAGTTCTAAAGGCAGTGAAAAATTTTGGGTACACAGATGCAACCAGAGTACAAATATTCAGGAGCGCTGGTCCATATGATAGATCTTCTGTTGTCAGTATTGGTGTAACATTTCATCCCACAAGCATTTGTTGATTTCTAACTTCTGTTTCTCTTGAACAGAAATGTTCCCAATAAAGTTTGTCCAAAGCGGCTTTATGTCTAAAATGCTTTGTTTTGTTTTAATTGCAAGAACAGTTGTCTTCTTATACTCAGAGTTATCATGGTCGTAGTTTTGGGCCAATAAGTTAGGAGAATTTTTTTGTGTGTGTTTCAGGATTTTCTTTTTATTTCATTATATTTAGTATTAGTATTTAATAACTACTACAGTGTACCTGTGATAGTGACAGTATAAGTCAATGTGACCAGGAACATCACTCATGTTGTAAATCCAGGCATTATCCAGACAGTGGATGTAACATGCTAACAAATAAAGGGTTTTCAAGGAGATTTGATTAGAATTTGTTCACATATATTAATACCAGTGGACAAACGTATCTTGTTGCTCTTACCTCTTGATCCAGAGTCTTGTAACCACACAAGGTGTTGATGACCTCTCCCACCTGTGCAAGGAGTCACAATTTAGAGTGTCAGGGACAAAAGTTAAACTGAGCCAAGATGACCAGACACTGCGCCATGGAGACAAATGTGAGAGTGCAGCTGCTGACATGGGAATGTACCTTTCCCCTGCCAGCTAGAGCGTGAACCTAAACCTTGGAAAAACCGCTGTTGCCATGACAGATAAAAATGGATAACTGCAAAAATCTAGCCAATGTTCAGCCTTTCTAATCAACTCCTTTCCTTCTGGACTGCTTGGTTGTATGAAAGAGCGAGTACTAGAAGATTCTGTCATTAATTTCTTGAGCACAGCTCCACTGCTTCCAGAGATGGTATCAACAAGCCAAGGAAGGGGAATTTGGCATTTGGAGAATAGAATGGGCAACAAGGGACCAACGTTTAATTTAAAGACAGAAATCTCCCAAAGGCCATATACGTTTGAATCACAGCACATTTCCTGTTAGCCAGATGATGCTCTTCTGTCACACAATCAATTACCCCTCTGTTGTGTAGATAACAAGTATCTCTTCTTGCGTTGATAGAGCACAAGACATGGCTAATCGAGTGGATGGCGACTGGATCTGAGCCAGCAGGAACAAACATGATGGCTGTGAGGAGCAGGAACAGGTAACATCACTGATACTCTTTGCTGAGCACATGGTATCAGTGTTTGCTAATTATTTGGCTAAAGGGGTTCCTCTGAAATGTGTCCATATCTTAGAATGGAAATTGGATGTCTGTGCAAACAGATAGAGAGTCTAATTTGCCTGTCTGAAAAGCAAATTTTAAGTACTTCAAAGGTCCATTTTCAGCTTGAGTTGCTTTCAGTGGTGTCAGACTCAAGAAGCATCAATTCCATTCATATTTGTTTGTTTTTATAGTGTTTTTTTTTAAAGTGTCTGATTTACAGTTTCTTGCAGTAGTGTCATATCTGACCTGTGCAGTGCAGTTTAATTAGACTAGTATGAAAACTCTCAGTCATACTGACCACAACCAGCTGAACGTGGTTGACATCTGACTTTAAACAAACTCTAGTGCTGCTCATTTGTGGTGTGCTTTGACTCCACATCATCTGCAGAATTATGTGACAGCTGATGTGTAGTTTTAAAATGAATTCTTTATTCTTAACACAATACTTTTAAGTGATCTACTAATTGTGAATTGGTAACAAAGTGACATGGGTTCAAACAGCGTCAATGATGGAGGAGCATCATTAATCCAATGATCCATCGGCTGATTTCAGGCTAATTTTACTACCATTGCTTTAAACATAGTCATCATCAAGGCTGGTCATATACGCTCTAGCTTTGTGTTTTTTTCCAGAACAGTCGAGGCTATCTAAATCCTCCATCAACTGATGCGATAATACTTGAAGATATTTTATATATATATATATATCTAAGAAATATTGCATATTATGGAATTGCAATTTTTTTTTACATGTATCACACCATAAAATGCTGGCAGTAGACATATCTTTTAATAATTATTTATGAAAGACTATCTGGAATCTGGCATTATCACTCACTGGTGGGATACTCTATGACTTAGCAACTGGGAAAAACGTGTTCAACAGAAATAAATTTCACATCATTTCACATTTCGCACGCAGCTTACAAATGTGGAAAACCAAGCAAATGTTTGCTGTAATTTTAAAACTGGATTACTGTTTGGTGCACTGAGAAACAACTAGTATCATTAGGTTATGAAATGATGAAAATCTTGTGATTTGTTAAACCAAGCAGGTATATAAAAATATTACTTTGATAAAATGTGATCAGCCATCATGACACGATTACTTCCAAATGAACAAAAATGTAACAAGCACGATTACAAAGCTCCAGTCTCTCTGTTCTTTTGTAATATCATATCAATACATCAACATATCATTGCATAGACATGTTAATATCTAAGTAATGATTGTATTATATAGAAATGTACATATTTATACACTAACATATGCATGGAATGAGAGGTTAATGAGTGATTCAAACTAGAGTAATGAGTGAGGAGCTGGATGCAGAGTGTTACTCAATTTACGGTAAATTCAAAAATATTTTTCTTGCTGACACAGACGAGCTACTAGCATTGTTTGAAAGGTCAAGTTGTGCAGCTTCATTTGATTTGTGCTACATCTCACTACAATCAATACTTAAAGAGCAATTCAACCATCAAGAAAGGATGTAAATTTGAAGGCAACGTGTGTCTATCCGGTTCTAAGAGTTAAGAAGACTTAATGAAGGGGTTTTCAGAACCAAAGGCAGCCACTGATGTTTTCTTCCACTGATTGGGATCAAGATAAAAGGGAATTAGGAGACCTTACAGCTCACCTGGACGAGCAGGCATCCCATGTATAAGGGCTATAGTCCCTGAGGCTCAATCGATTCTAGTCCAGGACAATTTGCTACAGGTCAGCACCACCTTACTCTCTACTCCTCACTTTCCTGCCTCTCCCTCTGACTTTCTCTCAACAAAACGCAAAAATACCCCAAAGCAAAGAACTACATTCTTAAGTAGCAAGACAAAAGACCACGGAAGACATCTATTTTGTTGTGTTATTATCTGTGTATATGTGTTTCCAACACTCACCTTGCGTTGAACACAGCAGGTATATGGAACCCCACAGGCTAGTGGACCAGTACCATTGCAGAAATGGTACTGATTGACTCCCCAGTCCTTATACTCATCCCCTCCGCAACATGAAAACTGGGAAACAAAACAGAATAAAGACGAGCCAATTAGGAAGCATGACATTAAACCAAAAAAAAAAAAACAACCCCTCAAACTAACAAACTCGACAAGGTGTTTTCAAATCTCTCATAAAAACAACACACTGAGAGTCTCCTGTTTAATCCCCATCTGTTCCACCTCAGATCATGCTTATACCGCCCACCTGCCTCAGCACTTTGTCCCTGTCCACCCCACTAACCCACAGAGACAAATTAGCCATCTGTATGTCCAACTCCTACAGAAACATGAAGTCACTGTCTGCAGTAAAATACAGGGGGTCACATGAAGACTGCAGAAAAGGTTTATGACAGAAGGAATTCAATGAAGTATCCAACACGTTATGACCTTTCTTACACAAAGACACCTTTTGCTCTGTGACTGCCCGACCACAGCTGCATGCTGTTACACCAGGCACCACACTGGCTGTACAGATAAGACATTTTTTACAAGGGGTGGAAGAAATACGGACACAAGCCGAGAAGCAGGATTTACTACTCTTTCTACAGAAGCTTCAAACTGTGAAAATGGTAGTTGAGAGGCAACATTATTTCTTCCCCAGTCAAAGATTAAATGCCTATTATAGCCTATTTTTTGGAAGTTCAATAAATAACAACACTGAACCTGTAGAGACCTCAGTGGAGCTGATACTAATGCCCCTTTTACATTTACTGCACACATGAAATATACATCTCACACAGAAATATTTCCTCTATGTACAATCATTCTTTTGATCAATTTATTAGCTGCAGGTTGCCACTATAATTTCATGAACTTTTTTTTTTCTTGCATTGTGTTTCTTCACCAGAGAAACAAAAACAACTTTCTGTTCTTGCTTTTTAGTAAAAGACTTCTGTAGATTTGCAGTTTGATTTAAGAAGAACAAAATGATAGAAATGAGTCTACGCTTCTTTAAACATCAGCAACATAAACCCTAGTTATAGTAAATAGTCTGCACTTTTTGTCAATTAAGTGGTACTCAAAGGGCTTTACAATGCTTTGTAGTTACCCATTCAAACAAGACAACATAGCTGCTATGCAAGGGGCTTGCCTGCTATCGAGAACAACTTTTAGTTCAGGCATGTGGAAGTTCCCAATCAATCACTCACTTGTGTTTATTTACCTACTGTGGATCAGGTTGTGGGCTCATTAGGGAAACTGTCTAGCCACATTACTATGAAGTCTAACACGTTTGAAAACAGCCAGAGAGCCCTACAGTGCTTGTCCTGTTGACCCTCTTCAGTATGTTAAGAAGGGGGCAGGTATTTGTGTGGTTATAGGCTTTTCTGTTAATGGGCACCATGAACCAACAGAAAGAAAGTGTCAGAGAAAACACTAAAGCAAATGCAGTACTTCCAGAGTCCTCTAGATAACCTCTAGCTGGTACAGCCCACATTTATTTATCGCATCACACCTCAACATTTTACACCAATACCTGCATACAAATTATCTGTAATATATGCAGAACAATGTCCTGCCGGTCAATGTTTTCTAAGTAGGACATTATACTACCTTTTGTTGCACATAGTCCAAGATGTTTTTGAAGTCGAGGTCATCGTAATAGTGTTTGATTCCTTCTCGTATACTACTCTGAAACAAGGCAGACGTCTAGATGAAGCAGAGAGAAGACGTGGTTATTGTTAGGACGACGACTGACAAACATGATGCCAATCAGAAAGTACAATGAGGAAGATCATTGGGGTATTACAGAACTGTACAGGATGGATCGCAATGCTTACCTTCTTTTCAAAGATAAGCGCTGCGGTGAGGGCAATGGCCTGGAGGAGCAGCAGCACACAGAGAACACAGAGGAACTGTGGAGGGACAAAGACAACACATTCATACAGCATCCTCATGGTACGGAATTACCAATGGTGTACCAAAACGCCAAGAAAACTACTTATATTGTTAACAAGAACAAGTAAAAACACTGTAATTTACCAGAACATTGCTTTAAAAAATAAAACTGACCCAACTGCTTGGTTAAATTTCTCCTTTTCAATGCACCAAAGAGAGACAGTATAATGGATCAGTTAAACTAATATAAACTTGTCAAAATCCTTTCTTTGATGTACTCAACTTGTTATTAGACATCTGACAACATGCAGATTCCATAACTTAAAAGTATACACTAAAGCTTATCAGCTAAAAACAAGCACAAAACAGGTAGCAGGCAACAGCTTTCAAACATTATTTTTGGCTTCAAAAAAACAAACAAAAAAGAAGCACAAACATTAGGATGCACTGAGTTGGTCTGGTAAAGATGCCACTTCAATCAAGAGCAGTGTACAGCCACATCACTAAGCTTTTCTATGGGAACTATTCAGGACTGACTGTGGTTGAATCAGTTCCAAACAGGGCCAGCTAATTCTTAATTAACTTGATTGTGGCCAAAAATTAACTTCTTGTTGGTGTGCTCTCTGAAAGCCAGTGTAAGCACATGGCCAAAGATCAGCTACATGGAGAGTGGCACCACTCTGTGACACCACTGCAAAATCATGAGCAGTTGTGTTTTTGTACTTCCAGGAACTAGACCAGAGGGACACGTCTGCTCCAGAGCTGATTGTGTTAAATCCAGTTCACTTTTCTGGCTTATCATATTTGCAGGTTATAGCTTGAGTCTGGACTTGGCAGCTGTGTCATTTTGGCAAATGTAATTATTGGATTGGATTCTGTATTGATAAATAGACAACAGTGAAGGACTCTGGATTGACGCCAAAAAAACCATCATACAGACACCTAGAGCTAAAACTGCAATTATTTGTCGCACATTTGCTGACAAGTTTTTCAAATTGTAGGAAACCGAGTTAAAAGCTTGGTTTACCAGCTTGGTTTATAGAGAATGTCAGCACGAGAGAAAATCATTAATGTTTTTCCCATAACTTTATGACTTTCTCAGTATTAAATGAGTCCCTAATCCTCTCCATCAAAGCACAAGCAGAGACATCACACACTCTTCTATAGCTAACTTATAATCCCCTTTCTCAGTTCAAGTTATTTAGCTACAGCTAATGAGACAGTTGCATAGCAACCACAATAATATTCATTTGAGCTTTTTCTGTTATTGGCAAATGCAACAGCTGTGCTTTTGGATTTGAAGAGAAAATGGCATCTAAAAGTGATCCTCACTTTAAATTTTTTATCAACTGCTGTGACAATTAGTGTATTTACAAAAACTGTGTCCACATACACATTTAAACGCATAGTTTTATAGAAGTATTTTTTTTTTCCAATAATCGTTTTATTCCACATTACTGCCCTGATTTTGTAACTAAACTGACAACTTGAACTGCATAAAAAAAACAAAAAACAAAGACTCTCTGAACCCCAAAACCCGTCCGTAGGTTTAAAAGACATGTTTTTTTGTTTGTTTTTTTAATTGCCAAAATGACACCATTTATTATAGCACCAAACTGTAAAATCAGGAAGACCTGTCAGATTTTAAACTTGTGATGACTCTTGAACTAATCATGTGTGAAGTTTGGTTCTGTTGGGAAAAACAACCAAATCAGGGCTACATATCTGGATATTTAATCAAAATCACTTTATTAATCAAGTCTCATTTAAAAATTAGAAATAAACCATTTGCTCTAACCAGACTGAAAAAAACAGACACTACTGTTCTCTGTGCAGTCATAACGCCGTTAGTGACACAGCTGCAACAAACAAACAGACAAACAGTCACGTGACAAAATTTCTGGGACTTTTCAGCTGAACTGTCGGCTGAACTTACATGGACAGGTAGGAAACAAGAATAGCAACAAATTAAAAATGTAATCAGTAAAAAATCTCTAACACTTTTTCCAGTTCTGGTAACACCTATGGGTGCTTCAAAGAATGTTGGACAAGTTGATTCTAGGTTTTTTAAATCATTGAAAATGAATAATCAAAGATTTTTTTTTTAGAACTATTATACAAAGAGTAAATGGGTATCACGTACAACAACCTTTAACACAACCCCTCCTCCTCCTCCATGATCCCTACCATGTGCAGCAGGGTCTTGTTGTCCCTGAGGGATCCAACCATGCCCACCACTGATACAGTGAACATCACCAGACCCAGCAGGATGAGCACCACTGCGGGAGCCAGGAAAAGACCCTCCAGGGTTCGATTCTTCTGCCTTTCCACTTCGGCATACACTCCCACACACAGCACACACAGACCCATCAGCTGGGGAGAGAAAGCAATGGAAAGTGACAGAGGGTTGATGAGATGAACTCCTCAGTTGATTAAGTAGTGTTGTTTTATGATCTATATATTAATTCGGATGTCTTTTGGGGAGTACCAATTGTGTGGAGACTGACATTAGAGATGCTGTTAACAACTCAACACTGTTCAGTGGTTTCAACAAATAGACTCTGTTGTAAACATCTGCCTTTACTTCCAGACTGTAAGAGACTCCAGCCTCATGTGACCCTCTACAGGATAGAGCCAGTATAACTATGTGTGGACAGACAACTGCACTTAAAACACTGTTATGATTCTGTTTTCTTTATCCTCTCTCCTGCAAATTACATTAAGAATTGTTAGAGTTATGATGCCATTTTGGATCAAACTGCCCTGAAAAATGAAATGTCAACATAAAGGGCAGACAGAAACTGTTTTTTAAAATACAAATGAACAGACAGGCAGAACAGAAAAAGCATGTGAATGTAATTAAAGCATATATAAAACATCAGTCCCTCAGTCATTGAAACAACATTAATACTATTAAAAGAGTTTGAGATGCTCCTTTAAAATCCAGACAACTAAAGGTTTTTAAGTGGATTTGTTGCTTAAGTCAGGATAAGGCTCCAGTCAATACAAGCTACAACCATATCCACTTATTGGAATTACTCAGTAAATGAAGGGGACAGGACATGCCCTCCCCCGTGGCACCAGTGTTATTTAGGATAAGTACAATAAGTCTTGGTGTATAGGCGTGCTGTCATGGCCATCATCGCTTAATGCAACAATCCAAAAACAAATGGTAGCACCGGAGAATATGATTTCAGTGACATTTGGGAGATTTAATCAGTACAACTGAAATGTAACTTAAATTACCAGCAGAGATTGGATAGTGCATTAGATTCCCTCAGTGTAGGTCAGTTTGTTTTAAAACTTAATGTGGCTGTTTGACTTCTTCGCTTTGCTCTGTTTGGTTTAACAGCACCAACAATCCTACAGGGAAGGCACTGACGTCAGTACATCAGCTGGCCAGTTCAGTTTCTTTCCTCGTTCTTTGATCAAATCAGAGTAGGATTCAATTGTTGCACCAGTAGCACATGGCAGGAAATGTCCTCTTCAGATATTTTGGCTCTGCACTGTGTAACACTAATGGTCTTCCCACCATTTCACAGCCTAAACTATGCTTGCCTAATTGTTTCATTCCTACAGCAAGTGAGCTTTTGGCACTTTAAATGGTAAATGGTCTGTACTTATATAGCGCTTGTATCCAAAGCGCTTTACAATGTGTTTCTCATTCACCCATTCACACACACATACATACACCAATGGTGACAGAACTGCCATGAAAGGTGCAGCCTGCAATTGGGAGCAACGTCGGGTTCGGTGTCTTGTCCAAGGACACTTCAACTGTGGATGATAGATAGATGATAGATCGAACCACCAACCTTGCGAGTGGAGGACAACCTGCTCTACCAGCCACAGCCGCCCTTACTTTATAGGTAAAACTTAAAGTTTAAATAGTTTTCCTAGTTTATTATACATAACATACTTAGATTCTTTGGATTCCTGTCCACAAACCTTAAAATGCACTGAAGCTGCTGTGAGTGCTCACATCATGTTGGGTAAAGGCTACGAAATGTGAAAGGATGACTAAAGGTATAGGGAAAAAGAAAAATGAGGGTAAAATGTGATGCTAGCATAATATGACTGCACCATGACAACAATGATTGGCTCCAAAGTACATTCATGTCCACAGCTTTGCTTTACACTTTGACTTCTAGTTGGTAATAGGAGAAACAGGCTGATCCTACAGATAAAACTACGTAGAAACAGTATTATCAGCAAAGTAGACTTCCTGTATCAAAGTAAAAGGAATTGTTCAGCAAGAGACTGGCACTTCTGAGTTAGTCATTATTATACTATATTAAACATAAGATTCCTACACATGCATGTATGCTAAAGTCACATTTTTCTGTTGTAGCTGTTCAGGGGAAACTACTTCTGGCTACATTAATTATCTTGAGAAACTTGATGGGTTAAGAAATAAGAAAAAAAAAAATTCTGCTACACAAATTTGCATTTTTTCCCCCTCAGAACCTTTCTTTTATGTGAAATGCTGCCATATTTAATCTTTTTGAACTTCTGACTGTTCGTTAAACAAAACTTGGAGGTAAAATTACTCTTTGGTAGAGCTACTTATAACTCACAGACATCTAAAAATGTGAAGCAGGAGTTTACCAAGTTTATTGCAAGAAGCCACAAGCCAAAAAGGTAGGGATCCACTGATTTATTTTATTTTATTTTTTTAATGTTCTGCATTTGAAGAACTGATTGTGTTTTGATCAAAAAATATTTACAGGCAAACTCAAGAGTGATTATTTAAAGACAGATATTATTTGCCTGGCGAGATCAAATATTTAGCAATCTGTATTATTACTTTTTCAGTCAATCTCCAATTAAAAAGATTGACTTAAAGTTCCTCTCTGGTTGACTATTAAACCCCTTAAAGCTCCTCTCTGTGCATCAAAGTTACATATTTAGCAGTTTTTAAATTAAAATAAACACTTTTTGCCTTAGATGTAACTACACTGTAACTTTCCACACTGTAAATGTGCAGGTGTAAGTAGTCGCTGCCTCTCTCCCCAGCCACCCATACACACTCCCTGCAGCTTAAGCACAACAGCTCACCTATGACTCTGCTTAATCACTGTAAATGAAATGAAATGAAAAAAAAAAAAACTTTATATATCCCAGAAGGGAAATTCAAAAAAGTTGGTTATGAGCCACAGCACATCTAGTTGGTTACACGTAACAAGTAAGGTCATGAACACTGAAGGACAAATGTTGAAAAGTTAACTAAACACATTCAAAACATTAGAAAACAAAATCATTTTAACAAAACTCTGTGTTGGAGTTTGTATCATTCTAAATTTTGGCCCTAAGATTTTTATTTTCACTTGCAAAACTTCAAATATCAGTCATTGTTCTCCTTGATTACTAATAGTTAAAAAACAAACACATATTGTTCAACCCCTAGTAATTTTATCTGTTAGGTAAATGTAGTGGAGTGAACAGAACAATATTTCTCTAACGTGATGTGAAGCATAAGCAGAAAATAGAAGTGTGTCAAGGAAACGCATTTCAACATTGCACTCAAGTAAAATGCTTGAATATATGCACTTCGTTACTCTCCACCACTGCTTCCAGCTGGTTAGTTTGGCAGAAGACGAACCAAATCTTGGTGCACAATGATAAAATATCTTCAGGGCACATGTTGACAAATTACTCAAATACACTGTTCCACCTGTGTTTCTTCTTAACTAATCAAAGTGCTGCAAAAAGGGAAACAGGAAACAGTGTTTGCGTCTCTGCTATTGATTTTCAATTGCAAACCGAGGTAATTTGCTTTAAGAGTGGGGTCCAACTACTGCAACTCCATTTACTGCCCACGACCGTCTATAAAGCAGAAACATTTGGCTTAGTTCACACATTCAGTGCAGGGTTTTCCCTACCATAGAAAAGCTGAGGTGTGGCACCTAAGTGTTTTTTGTGGAGCACTTTAAGCCAAATGGACATAAACAGGTATTTAGGAAACCTATCAGAATGGATTTGGAAACATTGGTGCAGGAAAAAAAAAACTACTGAGACGCATCTTGATCTCAGCATAAAGTGAGGCTGGCAACAGGAAAGACAGATGTTTAAACACTGAATTACAATTCGTGTTTAAACAGTTTGTGTGAAGGGAGTGTGACCGACACTCATCATCAAGCTAATCAGCTGATAGATATTTCTGTCACATCAGCTCTGATGACAGTTAGAAGCACCAGCATGGATAAGCAGGTAGCAAGCTACTGATAAGGTAAGCCTCAACAAAGAATAAATCAAGTATAAACATTTGTGTTTGAAAGTAAATCTGGAACCCAGACAGCACCTTTGAGAAAACCCTGCAATGTCGGCTTTAACCTTCACTGCAGCAGTAATACAGATGAAAGAATAATGAGAAACAGACTTTATAGAAAGAGATCTGACACCAACCCTCACAGAAAACCCTGATGGGTGCACATATTGGATAAACAGTGCCCCTGTGCAAAGGTCTGACCTGTATGCTGTATACATGTGAGGCTTTCAGCTAACAGTCATTCTTAAGGAATACGCAAAATCCATGTTAAATTAAGGTGCTTGCAATTTGCAGTATCTAATAAAAAATACTGTATGGTTGTATGTGATTTTCAAGAAATAGAAAAAATATAATTTTAAAAAACAACCAGACTTATTCACATTCCACTGGGCAAGCCTTAGTAAATCCCATGAGATTCCTGTCATCAGAACCCCACTTAAATGACATCAACCAAACTTAACATTCTGACAGCAAAGATAGCTTTAATTAAGTCTACATGGCTAGCTTGGGGGCAAAGGAGCTTTTGTCTATTGAGCTGAGCCGGGCCACACTGTCCTAAATCACAGCAGTAAGAGGGACAGATAGCAGAGGACACAGACGGATCATATGAAAGGGACTGTGGACTGCTAATGGAATCAAACTACTAATGTTTTGGAGTCATATTCAATAGTGTGCTTTAGGGTGCACATATCTGACAACTACAGGATGAGTGGTGGTGCAAACTGACAGTGTTCCTGGAGACCAAAGTGGTATAGATGGTGGAAGCATGATGCCACATAGAATACAGGGATTTGGGACGATTAATGCCTAGGATGATTCACCTTTACTTTTCAATGCTTTTGCAAAAAAAAAAAAAAATCATTAACTTACTTGAAGTGGCTATGGTGGCCCAATTAATCCCACCCACTTCAACAAACACAAATATGCCCAAAGTCCTGCATGAGTAGATCCATTAAGCTGCCAGTGCACCTGTTTGCACAGACAACTGCTCCATCCACAACCAAAGTGTACCAAATTCATTAACTTGAGTGTTTGGAGGTCAGTGTAGCTTAATGAAAGAGAGCTGTGTTGTGATTTTTTTTTTTTTTTTTAAATGCTGAAAAACCTAATTTAAATGCTTCTTCTTGAATCTGCACCTCACCTTGGCCATCTCATTCAAAACAGCATTAATGCATATTTGCTTATTTGGATAAATCTTTACATTAGAGATGGTTTATCTGCTGCAGTCTGAAGCCACATTCCAACATACATACCTTACTATTAATCTGACTGCATCTGAATGTGTCAGCGTTATGTCTGAGTGAGCACTCTGGTCACTTTACCATAAAATTTGTAATGGCAATCTTACTAAATTGAACCTAGTAGCATTTCCATATCATTTTTAATATGGCACAAGTCTAAAGTGTATGCTGTCATATAAACAGATAGGCACAACTGTACTTTGAGTTAAGTGAGATGGTTTTTGAAAGGCTTTTTCCACATTTAAAAAAAAGATAAGACAAACTTTATTGATCCCTCACCCAGGGAAATTCACATTTTACAGCAGCTGGATACAGATGAGACATGGGAGAACAGACATGGCAGGACAATAATTACAAAAGTACAATACAGCTAAAAAAAAAAAAATTAAAAAAAAGATATAATAAAAGTCTCATAGAGACAATATACCAGACATAATTAACCTTCATATGGATGTATATATAAATGTATGTAAATATGACAGTGAATTTACATGTGGATAAGTAGAGCTGTGACATGAGTTTACATATGAATATGTGCAGATATGAGATAATGAGTTTACATACGTACAAGGATTTCAGCACCAATATACTTTCAAAAACATCACAGAAAGCAACAGACACAGTTTTCTGACAAATGCAAACAACGCCTTCTCATTCACTTTTCTCAACCAATTTATATCTATGACAAACTGAAACGTTCACAGAAAAACATGATGGACAAAGATTATCGAAAATCAACGATCGTAAATGTAATCCATGATTTTTTTTTTTAACAAAATGTGAACAGGAGCTGAAGTTTAGTTTGTTGCTTTCAGCTGTTTGTCGGAGTCTTTGCTTTAAGTTTATTAAAAACCTGCAGCCTCAAACAGCAGCAGGATCCATAGGAGGATATCCAAAGTGAAACCATTTGCACACATTTCTGTTTGCTGAACCACGTCAGCAACTTTATTAATTATTTATAATTATAAATTATTTCTGACTTAGAGACAGGATCGATCAGGGTCTAACAGCAGGTCACACTGTGTAATTTTCTTCACCTCAGACAGGAGACCTGTCACACAGACCAACAGTTAGTAAACTGCAGTTAAAGTAGAGCTGCATCACAGATGTTCAGATATTTCTTTATCGTTGTAGTTCTTTTTTTATTATTATTTTTTTTTTATTGTTAGTAAAGTTGGGTTTTAAATAACATCACACACATGAACAGTACTTTAAGTGATTTGGGAAATCATAAATACACTAAATTTATTTTTTTATTCAAAAAGGTTGATAAGCTTGCTTTTTTAGTCTTTTGTTCATTAGTGCATTATTAACTATTATTAATGTGTTCATCACAGTACACTTGGTGTACTGTCCAATGACAAATATCTATCAATGTGATGGATATATCTCAAGAGAGTCACAAGGAACATGAATGTAAAACTGACATCTGTCTGAATGACAGAAAAATGCCACTTTAACAGCATGGTGAAGCCGACAAAGTTCGATATGTCATGCCTGAAAAGGGCTTAAAGTTGAAGTCACAATAATATGGTCAGCAGTGAGAAGTGAAACTTTATTGAAATAGATTTCTGTTTGCTCACCTGAAGTCAAATGAACCAAAATGATGGAACTATGCCAGAACTACAGTGCTCATTAAAGTGGGAAACAACATTAGTTCTGTACAAGACAGCTTTGCCACCTGTGTGCTGATCAGATAAAAGATCTGATATGCTCATGTGGAGGAATGCACAGGTCAAAATCAGAAATACATCAATTATCAATATCTAATTTAATAAAAGTAAATCTTTCACTTCAATAGAAAGAAGAACAACAACAGGAGCCTGAATTAGCTCCCGTTAGCCTGCTCGTATTTTCTGTCGGCAAACTGTTTACTCACAATATCACCCCTTTAACTGGATCCAACGCCCTGCGCCACCGTGCTGCATGTTAGCCGGTGATCGCTGTGTATTGTTTCAATGCCAAAAGCAATTATTAACATATGCATATTTTGTTATATTACAAGGCTACCCACTGTTCTTGTATTTTAAATTGATTAAAATTTATGAAAATGCATGGGATAATGCTTTTCTTGTAAGCTAACGCTAACCATTTACCAGCTAGCAAGGATCCACGAAATTCCACACCAAAGGCCTTTAAAAAACATGCTAACTTAATGTTACATGGCACAACGACAAATGCACACACCTATTATTCTAATCTTGAATTATCTTATACTTATTATAGCCCATTGGTGAATTCGGAATGTGTTCTGTCTAACATACATTAGTTGGTTTCAGTAAAATCTCGGAAATACGCTGTCACGAGCTGTAACGCTATTTAAGTGGAAGTTGGCTGGAGTTTGAGATGAAGCAGTGATTTAAATTTAAAATTGTAACCGAAAGAGCCGCAGTTGTAGTTCGGCACATATGCCGAATTATATAGTAGAATATATAGGTTCCCCATATAGGTTAAGCTTTATTCTACAAATTGGATATGTGGCTGGAACAGATGATACACGTAAATACAGGTGTTTTCAATGAAGTTTGGAAGGATGTCTCGCAGATGCTATTGAGTGGCTTCAGTCTTTTACAGTTAGCATGGGTGCAGCTTAAATGAGCTTACTATGGATGCTGACGTGAATAATTAGAACAAAAACTTACCGAGAAGAGCATAGAGTAGACATTTAAGGTGAATTTGATGAAGTAGTAGAAGTGGTTGGTTTTCCTCAGCTCAGAGTAGGACGGCATGGCTGCTTGCGATAATAGACCTAGCTAACAAGCTAGCTCGCTATCTTTCGTTTAGTTCGGGCGAAAACAAAATAATATTAACAAAAAATAAAATATTCTTAAATAAATACAAAACACCTTTAAGGGAGCTAACTGAATCTTAAATACGTAAAAGCTCTCATTTCTCACATACTATTGTGGGTAGAGACCGAAACAAAACCACTTCCGTGCGGCCGGCCATTCCACACTTTGTTTTGACTACATTCTTAAAGGGGCAGTGCACAACAACAACAGTCTCATTATTACAACTTGATTTACCTGTTAAACACCTTTGTAACACAGTGTTGTGTTTCTTTTAGGTTCTTAGACTCACGTCTGGCGTCCATTTCAATGGACTGTCATTCAAACTTTAACTAAACATTAAACTAACATTATTCATAATAATTTCTCCAAACCAGCAGGGAACAATCTCCCCAGCCTTCTCTGTAATTCTACATGATTGTTGCTTTTATGGGCTGCAAGGTGGATCGGTGGTTAGCACTGTTGCCTCGCAGCAAGAAGGTTGCTGGTTCACGTCCCGGTGGGGGCACTGGAATCTTTCTGCGTGGAGTTTGCATGTTCTCCCCGTGCAGTGTGCGTTTTCGCCGGTTCTCTGGCTTCCTCCCACACAGTCCACTTGGAACATGGCTTTATCTGGTGGTCAGTGTTCAATTCTAGAAATTATGGCAAAATTGCAAATTTCTGAAGCGATCATACCTGTAAATTTAAATGTAAAATCACATGATATCTTTTGGTCAAAATTTTACCTTATTTACTTATTTTTCCTTGAAGTGCCTTTTAAACTGCTAAAATACTAAAAAAAAAATCTTCTGTGTCCTCTCTAGTGGACACTTGTGTATCTCTCTTAAAGTAATAGGTACTCAAACAACAATCCAATTGGACATGTTTGAAGTCTTGTTTGTGAGTACTGAAAAAAAAAAACTTTTAAAAAATATATTTTTTCTTTAGTGTATAAAGAGATAAAAAGCAGCCTGTAGTTTGACTCTGATGAGACCCTGTGTGGCGAAAATATAGATGTTGAACTTGGCTTCATAGAAAGAACAAAAATGTACCTTGGAAATGCAAGAAAAGAATTCCCCCCTGTATTAAAACAATAACAACTTTAAAGAAACTGGTCATGGTGGTATCAAAAACACAGATTATAGAAATAATAAAGAAATAGAATCAGAATACAGCAAATGGGGTTAGTTTAAAGGATTCAATGTTTGTTGCATTATTTTCCTCTTTGTGTGAACTGCAAAATAATAAAAATGAAAGATCTTCAAATAACCATGAGCAGAACATGAACATAAGTAAATATGCATTTAAATGGCAGGAAAATATATGTTCAATATATGCTACTCAGAGTATTTGTAATACATTACTGCTCTACTCAGTGCAGCTAATCCCTGCTCTTGCTTCAAGTTGCGTCAGTTGTTGCCCTCACTTGTTACTTGTTGGATATATTTGGCGTGCTTATGACCTTACTGTTGCGTTCATAAATAGGTTTACACACTTGCAAAGCTGGCCATGTGTTGGATAACCCATGTGATTATCACAGATCTCTCTTCCTCTGAGTTTGTCACCTTTAGAGGATGGTTTGTCATCGAATTATTTTTTTTTACTACAGTATAGTTTCAGTTCCCCCTCAGTTATTCTACTCCTGTACAGAGCTGTGTTGCATTGTTTTAGATTTCAAGTGATGTGCAACCTCATCTACTGTGCATGTGTCTTAATGTGTGTTGCAGAGTTACGCATGAGTTACCTGTGAGTTACCAGTATACATTTAATCAATTATCAAAGTCCTTCAACTAACATTCTCCTCCTTTTGTGCAACAATCACACTTGTCATGTGTCCTGACGAAGTCCCAGCTGTTCTGTGGCAGGCTGTCCCTGACCTCTGACCTTATAGTGTGGAGAAGGAATCAAAAACAGAATTTCCCTGCACGGATCAATGAATAATTATGTCGTCTTGCACTAGCCCCCCAATGGAAGAACATATCTCCAATGCATGGTTGGATCTCATCCAGCCCCATATAACCATGAACAGGAATAAATCAGCAAAGAAAATACTGAATGACAGTGCCCTGCTCACATCCACACTGCAAAATCTCATTTTACCAAGGGATCCCCGAACTCATCAGCATATTCATTGGTGTTTGTTGAAGGAATTAAATCTATCACCCGCGCACGCATTGAGAGGGTCATTTGGGTGACAGCAGTTCATCAAAGGAGTCTCACATCCTCCACAAATAATTGAGTTTAAGTTTTCTGTGACAGGTAGAAGGACATTTAGGCCAAGTTACTAAAAAGCCAATCAATCTAAAGGTCAGAAATGACATTTTGAATTCAGAGATGTCTTCGTGTCCCCAGGTCCCTCAGGATCATCGGGGTGACTGGGAGAGAGTCTGCAGGAGCTGAATTGAGTTTCACTTCAGAAACCTGGCTCATTTCTTGTGTTAACCCATCCGAATCCAGTGCTTCCTCTGCCAGCTTACTTTCCACATTCCAAATCACATGCACACATACATACAGAGCTGCTGACTTTTGTGATGGCAATATGAATGAAATCTGATTTAAAATTAAATGCATTCATGACACATATCAGTATTCAAGTCTGACAAAACGAGCATATTTCTTCTACTGCAGACAGTGATGGAAATGTACTCTATTGTATAAAACCACTTTTGGATTGTGCCAACTTCTGATGACTCCTTTCTGTCACAACAATATGTTTTGTAAGATTCATTTTTCTTCACCTCAGATGAGTTGAGATGAAAATAACTGATTGCAGCTGAAATCTGCTAAAAGGAGCAAGTTCCAGCCAAGAATGATGCTAATGGTCAGTCAGTCAGACCACACTGATATCACTCTGTTGTAATTAGTCTCAGAATCAAATTATTATTGTACACATGCAGTACAGCCATCATCATTAGGAAGGATCAGGCCGTGGCCAGTGTCCAAGGAACGCTCCCTCTCAGAGCACTCCCTCTGATCCATAGCTATCTGGAGGCTCTTTAGCTGTCTGGACCTGATGGCTCAACTCTTTGCAACCCTCATGATGCATAGTAATGTGATTGCTCTGCAGGGCAAGCAGCCAACAAAACCTCCACATCTCAACTTCACATGTACAGTTAAGGCCCAAATTATTCATACCCATGCACACCTCACTCATCGTGACTTTTTGTTGGAATAATAGGTTTCTTCTGTAAATGCAGCAATACTGTTTAAAATGGCCTTTGAAATTCCTGCTACGTTCTGGGTAATTCTAATACACTTTAAAATGAAAACAGCTGATGCAACAGTTCAGTTACTACTCAATTCAAAGTCACAGCTGAAGCCAAAGAGCTTAGTGAGTTTGATTTTAGGACCCATCACTAAGAGAGAGAGCTGCTACTCACAGGACAGAGAATGACTATAAAGTCCTATCCAAGTGTTTTCAAGTACCAGTGGCCCCAGTCCAAAGTATAATCACAAAGTACAAGGAGTCTCATCTTAAAGGGTGTGGTAGGAGGCCACACATTCACAGTGCTGGCGACAGTGGCTGTGTGAGAAGAATCCAAGGATCTCCGCCAAGAACATCCTGATGATGCTGAGCAGTTCAGGTACCGGCATCTCAGTCAGAAACTCCAGCGTACGCTGAACAAATCTCGTCGAAATGGTAAATGGACTGT